GAAAGAAACCGCTGTCCCCACCTGCACTGCTGCAATCTTTACACAAGTATTAAGGAACTCAATGTATGTATACCTTTTATGCATATCATCAGATATGAGAAAACCAACAGCAACAGGACGCATGTAGAACCTGTATCTATGTTAACAAAAAACACATCAAGCTGCTGAACAAAAGACATACACAGTGAGATATATACTACTGGATCAATTATAAGATTCATGTGAATTCACTATAGAGGCACCAACAGAATTTTGCTAACATTCTTCCAGTAGAAGGGAGAACTAAGCTGATACTTTCAGTTTACGTGCAAATAAAAAGTATATTATGTACACAACAGAAATTACATAAAGTATACCCAAACCAAGAACTTTTTTTTTTCATTACTGTTGCAAGGAAAGAAATATCAAGTAGCAAGCCAACAATTCACCGAATTTTATTTTCTTTCACAATTAGGTGCAAAAGCTTGCTTTCTAATAAGCATACCAGTTAAGCTACAAGACAACGTATGACGAAAGATTTAAAGCATTTACCTTTTCTAGAACTGTTCTGATTCTTTTTAGTAGTGCTGCTATCTGCCTTCTTGACATTCGCACCTTTCACAGCTTTCTTGGTTTTGGAAGTCATCTTTTTAGACTTTTCTCTTTTAGATGCTTTTCTAGGGGGCTATAAAGAAGAAAAACAGAAGATTAAAATGATGGTTTCTACCCAAACAATCCGTACCCCTTTTCCACAATGGAAATTATCTTTTCTGTCAATACAAACTAAATCAGCAAATTTAATTACTATATTTTACTAGCAATTTCTACCCCTACACTATAGGGGAATATGTCCACAAAGAGTATTCCTACATTCTTTTAAAATTTCACATTGTCCTTCTACGTGGACTCTTAAGCTCAAACAGTTAAAACTTTTTGATGATACTAATAGTTTGGTTGTGCTACAGCTTTCCATTCATAATTACTTATAATTAGCTTACAAAATAACTTTTAAGGTGTTCCTTTAAAAAGGGACATGGTATGTTGTATTCAATTACTTCTAGATACTATAGCTCTCTAAGACTACATGCAGCTAATTCTTTTTGCACTAATTGAGGAGAACTACATTAGCTAATCCATAATTTGGCCAGTTATTGTGACTAGTAAACCCCAAAAATATTGCATTGAGTTAACATCAAAAGAAGAAATTCAGAACATAAATACATACAGTATAACACATACCAGTGCACTGCATTTTTGGCACAAATTAAATGTGTACTTAACACACAAAATCTTTAGATAGTACTTCTGACAAGGCGGAAAACTTTCCTCACAGAAACAAACACGGAACATCGACAGGAATAAACCATACTTCAGAGAAAGAACATCATGAAACAAAACAAATTAACTAACAGTATTTACTAAATTCATAATTCTAATTTATATTCAAAATGGCAGTGTAGTCAACTGAGCAAACTATCACATCTAAACGATTAAGACTAGTTCATGTAACTTTTAACTGCTTCTCCCATTAGTACCTGGTGCAACTCATGAAACTAGTATTCAATAAACCAGATTATATTTATTTATATTGGCTTGCTCAGTTATAATTACAGTCACGCTGCAGTGTTAAATGAAAGATAAAGACTTTCACTGTTGAAATTCAGAATCAAGGATCACCCATTTCTAAATAAATGTTTGTAATTTCTAACTTTTCAGCTTTCGAGTTTCTGTAGCTGGTGATGGAGCTTTAGCAAAGTCAGAAGTTAAACCCGGCACTCACATTTCAGTTTTTTATAAAATTATGCTCCCCCAACACCCAAAAATATTTCAGATATCTTTTGCTTCTAGTAACTGTAAGACTTGTTGTTTGTTTGTATTGTTTAACGAAAGAATTGCAATCAAGAGAGACTTGTAACTCTGAGGACAAGCTATTCCAGCCACTCCACACCCAAGATTCCAATAGAGCTGGGGCAGCAAAGCAGATACGCTGCCTAGATCCTTCCACCTGTAGTATGTTAAAGGGTGTCATAAACCTAACTTTTTTTTTTTAATGCTGACATCTTAAAGCTGTACAAACGCAGACATTTTCCATTTCACCATTTCCTATATTCAAACTAATTTGACACACTGGTGTTTTTGTAATAAGTTTTTACTCCATGCAAGTCAACTTCAGGTTTCCAAAGACTTTAGTCTACTCAGCTATTGCCTGGCAGACATATCTAACTCCTACCTTCTGAAAGAAGGCAAAGAAGACCCAGTTAGATCAATGGAGTTGCAGTGAGGTTTTTTTGTTTGTTGGAGCTTTTTTTGTTTGTTTGGGGTTTTTTTGGGGGTGGGTTGATTGTTGTTTTTTTTTTTAAATAACTAAGTTCTTGAAAAATTTTCTAAAAGACAACTCCTGCCTCTGAAAGCAATATTCCCCTCCTCGCAGTAGGAAGACTGTATTGCTAAAAAGATGAACAAATATAAAATTAACTTTTAGTATTTCAGCCCTCTTTCAATTTGCCATTTGTGGGGAAAGAAAAAGGCAAACTAAGAATTAAGTTAGTTCCATGGAGATATAGGGAATTTCCTTGAACCATCTTTTAAAATTAAAACTAACACCTATCAAATTGACAGTGACAAAATAAACTGTTAAAGGCACATAAACTGGCCTTTCAACAAAAGATTTTTGTTACTATTTTCTATGGCTTGGACTATTTAGTTAACAGCCTGTCGCACTTCCACTCCAACAGACAGAATGTAACCCAAGTAAATAATGGTCTTACATTACAGCCAAAGGTTCCACAGCTCACATAAAGAATTTCCTCGACACCAACAGTCGACTGCTGTTTGTTGCAGAGCTCTTATTAAGGCTAAAAAGGCAGTCCCATCTAAATCAAAATATAGGATAAGATGGAGCTTGCAGCTCCTTTTCATTTCTTTTTTTCCAGGCTTCATGCATACGGACAAATCAGTCTACACTTTGTACACAAATCAGCTGTATGCTTGTACTGGCCCTCCATGTTTTGTGTCTATTCTCTGAATAAGTACAGGACTGAAAGGGAATGCACAGGGAAAGGTATTTTGCATTTAAATACAAAGTTCATCTCATTTCCCTCTTAGTACGCAAGGCTAAAAGAAGTTTCAAAGAAAACAGAGAACAGAAAATACAGTGAGATGAGAACACTTTGGAGATTGCAGGGATCTTTGTAAGGCTGCTTACTATGTTGCTCACTTTATCTTTGCGATCCAACACACAGAACCCTAAAAGAGAGATTAGGACATAAAATCCAGGAGAAATATGGAACCAAGATCCAAAAACAATGCAGCCAGGGACCTCTACTGAATTCAAAGTTGAGTCCTAGGTATCCAATCAAACCCTACACAGAAAAAAGAGATAGATAGACATTGGGAATTTTTATGAAATTACATTAATAAAGTCATCACAAGCTGATACAAGAAATGCAGTTATGTTTGAAATCCTGGCTGCCCCAAAATGCCATATTGCAAATGGTTTTATAAGGTGCATATATACATCCAAGAATCAGAACCTTTGCCTCTTATCGATTCTCTAACTTTAATGCACTAAGATATTATGAAAATCGCTCATAAATTGCAGATGTGTTCCCTTTTCTTTCAAACGATTCATTCAGTTAAACATCACTTACCCTCCAACTCTGTATGTTCCAAGAATTACCAATCGATAACCACATAATGACAAACTGCAGACAAATGTTTTTAGTCCTATGTTGAAAAACAAAAAACAAACCTCATTACCTCATCTTCACTTTCTTTTTCTTCTGAAGAGTCATCCTTTTCCTTCTTTTCATCTTCTTCACTACTGGATTCATCTGACAAGATCTCTGGGCACTTGGTGCGTTTTGCTTTTCTTGTTGTTCCAGTGCTACTGCGTTCTTTTTTGCCACCTTTGCTTGGTGTTTTTTTGGACTTTGGCAACGGCTGAGAGACAGGGACATGTGTTATCCAAGTAGGAATACAAAAGTGAATTTTAAAAATATAAACTCCTTCAAATCACATGAAAGAACAGTAAACAAATATAGAGGTCTCTAAATCTTGGTAACAAAAATCAGGACTATTTTTATGTACCACACTTAAGCCATGACATTTTGCGGCAAGCAGAAATTCATTACAGAGATGGAGCTGAGTAACATGAAATTTCAGTTCTAAGCTAAGCACCCCTTCCACTCCCCTAACCAAACAAATCTTCAAAGGTTGGGGGTTAGGGAAAGGAAGCAAGAAAGAACAATCCAGAAGGAACCTTTTACCTACCTGTGCCCTCCCAGCCCATAAAGGCAAGTTTTTTCTTCTGGTAACAAATTAGCTGACAACTCTTCAGAAGACTTAAAGGCAGGAATTCGCTCATGTCTTATGCAAAACTGCATTTTATTGTCACTCAAGTACCAATGTCCCTAAGGCAACATGCAGACTCCTTGTTCACATCACTTACCGGTGTTTGCTGGGAATAAATTTAATTTCCTGAGCAACAGTCTAACTATTTAAGTATTGCTTTTAGATTAAAAACTGAAAGTCCAAGAAGGTTAATAATAGAGTTTAGAAATCTTGGCAGCTGAATCTAGTGCACTAACATATACTAGTTTTCCTTGCAATAAATTCCATTTTGTGATGACCAAATGTGATCACATACACTTGTCAACTTGTAGCATACCCAGGTAACATCTGACAGCTTATTTTCCTGCCCTTGCATGTTTTATTTCCTTGCTCTGACACCTTTTTTTTTTTTTTTTTCTTTTTCTTTCCTGCTCACATATTATGTCTATTCCCCTCCATTCACCCACAAAGCAGAAGCTATTTACAGTATTTGGGCATGAATATCTCTAATTAGCTTAATGTGTTGACCACACACACTTTTGTGTGCTAACAGTGTATAATGGGTGCACTTGCATGCAAGCATATAGTTTCTATCCAAGTCCTCACCTCATTATGGGTGCCTGCAGGAGAAGAGTTACTCTCTCTTTCAAGAAGCCATTACTACTTCAGGAAGTTAGAACAGTAACGTATCACCGCTGGTAACAAGCAAATAATAAGGAATAGAGACAGCTGCATTTTTCATCAGAACAGAGCTATAAAAGCAAGCATAACAATCTGCAACTCACCTTGCCTGAAGATTTTGGGTGCATTAAGAAGTTTAAGATTCTGGTTACCAGCTCACTATTAACTCCTGATCTTTCCAAGTCGAGAACTTCACAGATACTTTTCAACATTGCATTTCTAAATCTGGAGGGGAGGGGGGGGAAAAAAAAAAAAAAAAGATTCAGTTTCACATCCTAAACAATCGGTCAACATTTGACTGCTAGAAGCTGCTATCTGGTGTGCGTCTGCAAGCTGAGAATAGACATGAATATATGCACTTAATTACATTTCCAATCTTATCTATAGTTAAGCAAAGAACCACCACCATATTACATAAAACAAAATTCCCAAATCCGCATGTGTGTAAATTAGGAGATATAAAAACAGTTACAAAATCTTAATACAAAAATCTTCCCCAGAATCTCTCCTAATCTACCACATTGGAAAGAATCAATCTTGGAAAGTAAATCCAGTGGGTACAAGACTTGAACTCTAAGGGGGGAGGGGGCTTCCCTTTATTTTCTCTGGTTCCTTACCCCTTTACAGAAGTATCTCTGATGAAGATAGAAGGTTAAGAGAAACTCTGACATCCACCCCCTTTACTCCCAAAAGGATCTTGAACCAACTGTCCCACTTTATCATTTGTCCCACCGGTATTGAAAAAAGTAGAAAGAGTCAAATCCTGTGAGGATACGACATCAGAATGCAAGCTTAGTGAGATTTAAAAACAAAAAACAAAAACCAAACCACCCACAATAAAAAAACAACCCCTACTTATTCTACCTGTTACTTCCCTTCAAATGCTTCTGCTTTCCTCTTCACTCATTTTGTGCAATGCTGCCTGAAAAGTGGATTTCATTGTCTGATCATTTTTCACAAGTTTAATAGCTATTTCTGGTAATCAAAGTCAAAGAAAACTTATTTTTCATTGTTTATTTAAAAAGTCAGTGCAACTATTTCATGGTGGCCTGCAACTTCTCTAAAGTAGCATTTAATTTCAGACTGTCCCTTTAAACTCATAGACTTTTAAGGGGGCAGAACAACTTTGTTCTCCCATGTTTTAGGGCATGGGAACAGGAAATCTGAACTGGTTTGCTGCACCTCCCTGCCTCAAAGTATAGTTCATCCACCATCCTTCCAAGGATGAAGTCAAATCTTGCAATCATTTTTCTAGACAAGGTTATAAAAAAATTTGTGCAATCTTAACATGCGGAGAGCCTTCCTGTTTAGCTTTTGGGGATACACAGAATACTTGGAAGGTATTCCTGCAGAATCAAAAATCAGTCTCTTACATTTTCAAAGACAGTAATACTATAGAGTTAAAACCACGTAATTTGTAAACAGATTTAAAAACTGTATAGCATCAAAGTTTCTGTTTCAAACCTTCAAGCCCTTGTGTACTGAATTTAGAATTTTATGGTTCAATTGCTGCTTTAACTAAAATGCCTTATTACTTGTGTTACACATGGAATTTGTCCTTGTACTTTAACTTAGGTTAGAAATAATACATACAAAGAATAAATATCACCTCCCAAATCCTTTCATATTTTTAATGCTTTGAAGGTACAGCTGCAGGTAACAGCAAACATAATGGATTAAGTATTAAAATGCAGTTCAAGTGTGGAATAAACAAGTGCACACAAGTTTTGAGTCAGTAACTTCCATAGCAAGTAGTTTTGACTTACAAAATCCAAGAACTCTAACCCACACAGCAACCTCATTCTTTTTAGTTTATAACCTGAACAGTAAGATTCTGTAAAATAAATTTTGTCCTTTGTTCATCTTGTTCAATGCTGTTAAAACATGATCATGTACAAGCGTACAGTGTGGGCAGAAATCAACCATACAGTCAGAATAAATTAATAATCTAATCAGCCGCGTTTCATACATAGCTATGAAGAGCAGCAGAACTTACCACACTAACACAAGCACACAGCGCTCAGTACCTTGATATGAGTGACAATGCAAGCAGTTTTCAGAATATTTGCTGAAAACTGAAGAGTAACAAAACTTAACTAGCAGGTCTTTCATATGGAAAATATGAAAAAAATGTGCAAAAATACTTTAAACCCGTGGGAAATGTTCAAAACTCCCATCCTGAGACAGAGTTTGTCTTGTAGATTCACACGTATTTGACAAACCCTATTCCTAGAAAACTGCGTATCTGAGGAAGGAAGATTTGCAAATTCCAAATTCTGGAAGCCTTCCCACTATCAACAAAATGACACTAAAAAAAAAATATTTAAAATCAATTATGTAGAAGTTATTAGTTCTTTCATTTGTTACAACTAGCTGCACAAATATGCAAGGGCATCTTTAAACCCTTTCAGTCCAGTCAAAACCAAGCTGCAGCAGCTCCTCCTGTTAATAGAGAAGCAGCTTATGTGGGGAGACAGTAAAAAAGAAAAAAAAAAGAAAGAAAAAAAGATTTGTTAGACTAGTTACTAAAGCAATTCTAGGAATAAGGCTGTATGTTTAATATACGATAAGCAGAAATGGCCTTGATTCTGAAGGAGGAAGGTTTTGAGGCATAGAAGGATGCAAGTTTGCACCATGAATAGAGCACAATGTATTCACAACACTATGCTTGCCCTGGGGAAATAAAGCTTTCCTTTCACTTGGCAGGAGAATCTGCAAGTTAGCATGGAATAGTTAAAGCCGGGACTGTAGGAATCATGAATAAAATGTTCACAATTTAACTCTTTTTAATACATTTCAAGTTGTCCTAAGAGATCAGTTTGTGTGATCAAAATGAGCTCTTTAAAAGATCATAGAGCTCTAGGAAACAGCCACTCAACTTAAAGCTTAAATTTAATCTGAGGTAAAATTTTGAAAATGAAAAGGAGTGTGTATAGCATGAGTCAAGCTATGATAAGTAGTAATAGAGATCATTACTTTTTTAACATTTCTTCCTTCTTTTTATATTGGTCACTTCCTTTTTCAAATGGGAACCCGCTGAACTGACCCACATTCTTCTTTAGAGAAGCAACCTAGAACAGAAAACACGGATTACTTTCCATTGCAAGTAGTTTAAAGATTTCATCCAATTACATCTGTTAACTTTTCATACAAGAAAAATCTATTCTAGCAGTCAGCTTTCTGTTAACAAAAAGTTATACCCTTTAATTTATAACCTACATGGTTTATGCCTTTATTTATCTCACGACAGCCAAACTACAGCACTTAAGTTCTTGTGATGTTGGTACTTTTAATTCTTTTTAATAACTTACCAGGTAAAATCACCTGCCATTCCAAGCTTGTCTAGAATGTACTGCATGGTTATTTACAGGTTTGCAAACTATGACCATGTGAAGCCTGTTGCATGATTTGTACCACATAATTTGTTATTGAATAGTGCATTTTATTTTTACTATATAATGTGCTAAAGCAGATTTGCTTTATTTGCTTTTCTAAAGTCGTACACGGGACCATGATTGTACTTTTGAACCTGTTCTTTAGCATGACCAATTTTTGCATTTACATACCACCCAATTTACAACTTTTACCCTTACACCTGCAACCTGAACAGGGTTGAACTTTCATCATGACAGCCGTTATAATGGGAAAATTGCTCCCATCAAGATCCCAAATATATTAAGTTCTTTGTTTCCACTCCATCTCCTTTTACCAAAAAATAAGTTAGAAAACATCCCCAAATCTTTTATTCTTCTGAGATCTTAATACACCATCAAGAATAATTTCAACTCGCGTTCAATAGTTCTACAAATTTTGTTCCTGCTGTTTCTCCATTAGTTTATAATTTTACCAAAACCAAGCTCCTTTTCCAAAGGTAATTATCTTTGTCCAGCACCTAAAGAAAATTTGCAGATGGTATTGGTATGTTTTATTAAAAACATTAACGATGATCCAAACCACATACAGAATGTGCATACAAGACAACATCTGATCTTCACTATATTAAACAGCATTCTGAGCTCCTAACAATTTTGATTAAGTATAGTTTTGGATGAAACCATACTGATGTATTTCCAAACTGAATGTATTTTGAAGCAAATAAATATATTCTCATATCTTTGGACTCAAACCACTGGGATGCTGCAGCAATCCAGCTGGACTCTCCAATAAGCCTATGTCCAAAAGACTAAATGTTGGAGAGCAGAGCAAAGGGAGGTGGAACTGGAACCAAATAAGTGGTGTGGGAGGGAAGGGTGAGAGCTGTACTTCAGTAGCAGTTATGTCTAATTAGTATGACTTAAGAGTGTTAAATATCAATTTACAGTTATATCATTTGCACATAATTGTGAAACTGCGAATAGTCGTGTGTCTATTAGGTGATTAGACTATTTATTAGTAATTGATTTAATAATCAATAATAACAGTATCATTCAGTTGTTAGTTTCTTAGCAGCGTGTTGCATAATCAATAAACAATACAGTCTCTTAAATCAGTTATGTCTCAGATCTGCAATCTAAAGTGGGGAAAGATGAACTCTGAGGTAATGGTATCCCAGTACCTCCACCCAAAGACGGTAGAAAAGTGTTACTGGTTTCATGAAGGGAAAATAGATGCAGTTTGACAACTTCCATGGTAAAGCTAGTTAAATCAGAAAGCTACATGGTTGTGTAATTGTACCTTTCCTATCAAACAATTAAATTCTACTGCAGGACAATCCAAAAGTTTGCAAAATTCTACAGGCACTGAGTCAGAAATTCTCTAGTCTGGTTTACTGCCATACTGAATAAATAGTATAATGCACAGAAGTAGGTTTTAATGAATATATACTGTTCTTTTTCTGAATACTTGAGGCAACAGATATTTCTTTGCCATTTAAACAAGCACTGCATTTGCAGCAGCAGAGATGTTACAGCTAGCATGCATCTGTACTAGTACTATTCAGTTTCTGGTTTCTGTGCTAGCTGTTCCAAGTTTCCAAAATACAGAGAGATTAAAAACAAATTCCTATAAATATTGTAAGTGTATTGAAACAGAAAAATTTAATCTGCCTTAATTTCTCTACATCCATTTTATCTCAATTAGTAAGGAAAACGGGTCATATTTACTCTGAAATTTAAGGCATGGTCACTGATACATAAAGGGCTCCAATAAAGGTTTCCTATTATATTTTCTTTAAGTTTCACCCTTAAATACAAAAGCGAGCATGTCAGTTTTTGACTAATATTTTAATTGTCTTAGATAAATGTAACAAAAATCACTATTAAGATTTTACATATAATGTAGTTTTACTTTCTACTGCTTTGGGCAAACTAAAGGAGAAAATGACTAGGTAAGTAGCAATGTATTAAAACCCATTAACAGGTTTCCAACATAAAAGAAATAGAAGTACTACAAAAAAGCTATGTTGAACAAAATAACTACATGGAGTATTTTGACTGTAAGGCGCATGTCAGCAGCATTTAGCATGTGAACCATAAGTTATTTCCAACTCATCCTCATAAAGTAAACCACCCCTCCCCCATTAAAAAAAAAATCATTTTTTAAAAAAAAAATCTATATTCAAGTAGATTTATGATTCAGTATGCCTTTCCATAGCATTTTTATAGGGAGAGTAGTTTATAGAAATTAGAGAAATTATGGGCTTGCTCAGCTGGTCCTGTAATATTCAGTTTTTAAGTAGTTTGTAATAAATGACACTTAAGAAGTAGATCCGTATGTGCAAATGTAAAAAACTATACTACAAACATTTTCACTATGCATGAGAATTAATAGATATACAAGATTGACTTTAAGTTCTTACAGTGCCTGGCCTGTTGTAGAGGAGTTTGTGCAGGTTCCTAAGTTCATCTGTCTTCTTTTTACTCAGAAAGAATTGTATCCTTTCAATTTCACAGAGTTTTTGTCCTTTTCCTGAAACAGTTAAAATCAATGATGCAATTCACCACATTCATATTTACCTATGTGTTTATAACTTCAAATATCTACTGTTGTTTAAAAAAGCAAAGAAGTTATTTCAGAATAGCATCAGACATCATAATAGGTCAAACATTAAGCAGGCCTTTTCCTATCAATTAGGCATCCTGACAGTCTCTTTATCTTCCTTACTTGATACTACCTAGACCAGAGTACAAGGACTTGGCATTTCTTTTTATTCTGGCTGCTCCTGCCTTTGTTAGTGGTGGCTAAGTACTGAAGATCCTATTCCAGGTACGGTTAAACATTATATAACTTTTATGGTTTAAATTGATGCGACAGAATAAAAGAGGGTTTTCAGATAATTGTAATAGCCTTATATTTTAAAATGGATCATGACTCTTAAGTCAGGTCTCATCTACAACAAATTAATAATCTGATCATTTAAGAGGTTTCATTATCATTACCAACACTCACAATTCTTATGTGAAAGGACAAGCTTACCTGGTGTAATTGTAAAAGGTTCCTTTTGCAACGAGGACACTTGCATGGTCAGTCGGTCTACCTTCTTTTTCTCCCTTTTTCCTTCAACAATGAGACTCTTTTCTGCAAAAGACAGCTTCCTTAAACACAGTATCTTTCATTACATGAGCAATGACAGGCAATACAACACTGAATCTTTGAAATGGCAAACCAAAAAGGGATAATGATGTAACCAGGTACTATGACACTTTCAAACCTTTGGCTAATAGGTCAATGGGATTCTACGGAGCTGTATATTGGAGCCTCTAGTTCTTAACCACAATCCTGCATCCAACTTAACCTTGAAGACACGACTGGGCATTTCTTAAAAGGAACTTCACCCCACGATGGAGATTGCAGCACTATGCATTTTCAGAAACCCATCCTTCCCTCCCTTCACTGCCTTTCTGAGCTACAGAACTGACATTGTTTGCATAGTCTCCTTCTGGGACGCCCCAGCCCACTTTAGCTCTCTCAGGGACAACACTACCACCAGACAGGCAAAGGGAGAGTCCAGCATGGCTGCAGACACTTTCCCTTCCCACTACTGGACTGGGGGACCCACACGTATCAGCAGGAGAGGCAGCAGTACAAGCACAGTGGGACTGTACAACACGTCACAGGGCTACCCAGTGCGGCACTCTGCAGGGCACAATATGAGTGTCACGAATACTACAAGAATACTATTCCCAGTAATTCTCAGAATTACTTAGTAATGAATACATTTAGATTGTTTTATACATTGCACAGCACTACTTTAGTGATACCATGTCAGGAGAAAAACCCAAAGCTTCACCTAAACATTTCCTACTAAAATACTTGACTATCAAACTATCCTTAGCGTTGAACAGATGGGCTATCCTGGCTTTAACATCTGAAAGCAGCTTCAAAATCTGTATGAACATAATAAAAACTGGGTATGTATCTGATGAAAACAGAGCAAAACATACTTGTATGTACACAAGAAACAGTTGTTTCTAAAAATCTAATTCTAATTACTCTAGTTTCCCAAACAGCATAATCTCTTTTCTTTCTATTGCCTTTCCTAAAGACAAACTTCAGCTCTTTTAAGAATCCAAGACCATCAGTGACTTAGTTTTCACTGTGCCATACTGCAGCTCCATTTCCATGGATGCTTTCATTTGTAAAACAGGTGCCTAGAGATTTCACAATGGAAATTAACATTTTTGCATAGTAGTTCCTTCATCACATCTTATAGTCCTTGGCTAGCCTCTTCGATTACATGCCACAACACAAAACCTGCCTTGCTTGCTCATCCTACATCACCATGATTTTTATCGATAAAATTAGTCAAATGGAATATTCCCCCTCCAATGTAATTAAATTTTGGTACCCAGTAAATTAATTCACAGTGGTTAAGCAAAGACATCTGTATTGTTTCCAAAGCACAGATTTTTAAAGTTTCTTTTTTCTGAAAACATGGATCACTTCAGAGTGTTACTGGCAAAAAAGGATTTTTTTTGGATATGCATTTTTATACAAATAATTTGATAAAGGATGCTACTTCTTACAGTCATCTAGTAGTTTATACAACAACAACAAAAACAACCGGCATAGGAATGCTGGGAATTCCTTCAGTCTTTCCTGAGGAACATCAGTATCGCTGTTTGTAGTGTTGCCTGTTATAGTCTACTGGGAAGCGATTTATGACCCATGAGATAGATGTACCATGGAATCTCCTAAACAATAATTGTACAATTAGCTGAGATCACAGGAGACTGCATTCAGTAAGCTTGGCATAAGGACAACTTATTCTGTGGAAAAACACGAACCCTTTTCTTCCTCCTCCTCTTCTTCCTCTTCTTCATCTTCATCACTTTCCTCAGCTTTGTTTTCAGTTTCAGGTTGTTTCTCATCTGCTTTTTCAGATGACATTGTATCTTCTTTTGATGAAACAACAGAAGACATGGTGTATGATTCTGTAAAAAGCAGAAGCCATCATCAATATAGCATTATACATGAAAAATACAGGAGTCCTACTCTACAAAAAAATCTTCTTGTATGGTAGAAGTAATGTCATAGTGCTCGTATTGTGATTGTTCATATTCTTTAAGACACTAAAGTATTCTGCATACACACAGTACATAAAATTTTTCAGGAGGAGTTGCCATCCATTCTACAACTAGCCTGGTTAAGAACAGTTTAAAAGGTTATCAGTTCTTTCCACACACAAGTCTTCAAGCTTGCTTTGTGAAGCATTTGGAAACACCCACTCAAAGCAGCTGATGCTGTTATCTATTAAGAACTGTAATGTTTTAAGATATCACAATTTTAGTGCACCATATTATAAACCAAATAGTTATTTCTGATCACGGTTAACTATGCATACAAGTCTCCTAATAAGTTAAACAACCTACATAGTTAGATGGGAAACAGGAAGAGAAAAATAAAAAAAATAAAAGTTATGAGCAATTTGGAAAAAATGAACACTGAATTTAAATAGCTGCAACATCTTAGGGCTTGAAAATGCTTTTTGTTTTTAATCTGCAGATCTACAACAAAAAATAGACATTTCATACTTAGCATATTTAAGAGGAGTCTTTTCGTAGTATTTGAAGTGGCTTAAACGTTAACTTTGAAAGTAAAATATCTCACTTTGGTGAGTACCATTTCCCTACTGAGAGAGAATGTCTATCTAACAAAGGAAGATAACCGTATCTGTTCATTTTAGAAAAATCCTAGCTTTCAAAATCTTTCACTGTTTACAGATCTGGAACAAAATACAGCATCAGTTGTATAAGCCCTTGTGGAAAAAATATCACATGATTAACCATTTTCTTCTTCCGATATTAAAGCCAATATTATCTGCAAGAGGTCAGACTCAATAAACAACAATGAAATCAACTGCTTATATACAATATCAGCAGGTGCCAGAGGACAGCAGCACTCCAAATGACAGAAAAAACATGAGCTGTATTACCAATAGTCAGGGGAAAAAGAAAGTTTACTGCTCTTTGCTAAATCACTGGGGCGGGGGGAAATCTCTTTCAGGATATTACTACCAGTATTTCATTTGACGCAGAAAAATAATCCGACTTGTTCATGATATCACACACTGAATTTTACTTGGCCGCATAAGTGAAAAACCAAGGGAAGTACTACATGTTGTCTTTCCTTCCCCTTCCAATGGGAGCAGAAGGGGAATAGGAAAGTAAGAGACTTTTTAGCTTTTCAGCAACCAGGTCCGTGAGGACGACTTGCTTAGGGAAAAAGGGTACTGGGATACGCCTTTAGGAAGACTTAAGTCGAGGGTATTTTCAGCCGGGAGCGGGTATCTCGCAAGCCGCCCCGAGAAGGATACTCGTGTACAACAGCACCTCCCACCCTCGTCCACGACTTCTCAGACACCGACTCGCCACCTGTCCCCTTCCCGACTTGCCAGCCAGAGGCCGGGGAAAGCGACGACGACGGGTAGCGCCCAGAGGAGCCGGCGGCCGAAGAGAAGGGC